CTTGCGAACAAGAAATGCTTGAGTTAAGTTCTGGATTTTCCATGGAACTAGTCACTGCCTGACCACGGGCAGAGTAATTAATTTGTTAGACTCAGTTTCCTTCTCAAAAATGGGGATCACAACGCTAACATGACAAGGTTGTTGTGAAGGTTCAAGACAGTAAAATATAAAGCACTTAGGCAGTGCATACCAGATCTTCAGTCCCATTAGGTCACGTCTTTCGAGGGAAGAAGTACTGAGGGTGGTGGGAAAATGTCCATGAAGGAGTAGGGCTCCGTGAGGATTCTGTAGAAGTAAAGAGGAATGGTAAAATAGAAAGGGATTGTACTAGTTCCTACTCCTGGGACACGATCCCTGACAAAAGTGACAGGAGGACAGGTTTATATGGGTCCTGGCTTCTAAGGGGCTCAGTCCATGCTTGGCTGGCTCTGCAGCAGAAACATCATGGTAGAAGAATGTGGCACAGCAAAGACATTTGGTCCATGGCAGCCAGGAAGAAAAGGGGAACAGGGCCAGAGAGGAAGCGGGAAGGACCAGACACAGACCTGAGTCTATTCCTCTGTGCTGGCTTGGACACAATCAATCGAGCCGACTCTCCATCTCAACCATCACAGAAGTCTCCTCTGTAGTATTAAGGGAGACAGAGAGGTACAAAGTAATACAGTGCGGTATAATACCAATATTAGTCGCTTTAAAAAGGACACACGCAGAGACACGCCGATTTTCCTAATTGCACGATGTACGATAGGCGAGAACAGAACGCTGCCTAGAGGTGAGAGAGGTCAGAATGGAGGGTGATCGGAGACCTCTGGTTTTATTCTCTCCACCACATCATTTATATCTGTTTCAATGACCGTGCCTGCGTTCGTAACATAATTTGAAAGAGTGACTTATGAAAGGAAGAGGTGGTGGTAAACTAGGCGCCAGTGGAGAAGATACATTCGGCCTCTACCACCACATAAGTCAGCATCCTTCATCAGCAAGAAGCTACCAGTCAGTGTAAGTCAGCTGTTCCGGTTCTCGCTCCTCTCCATTTCCTCCTAACATCAGTTGAGAGGAATTTCCCAAATTCCTGTCTTCTGGACTTGTAGTTTCGGTATAAATCGTAGGTCCTGAGATACCCCACTGGATTCCAACTGGCAGTTCACATAACTCGTCTACACAGCGTAAGAGTGCTGTGCGGCTTGAGTAGCGAACACGTGGCCTGCTGCCCTCTCCCTGGGCGGCCATTTATTCACGGATGGGAAGGAAGAGCACAGGGTCCTTTTCACGAGGGCCACAGGCAGGGCGCAGAGTGTGTGGAGTCCTTGCCATCGAGGGACTTTCTGCAATTTCCCAGCCATTCACAGCTCTTCCTTCAGAAGCCCCGAGTGGCTTTCTCTTTATCTGAGATCTCAACAGCATTAGCACAGTCAGCCTTTTAGCTTGCGGGAGCTTTGGGTAAAGCCACGCAGCCACTCACCCCTGGCCAGGAGGGCACGGGCATCGCCAAGGGCTGGAACTCAGACCCCGTGCTGGTAGAAGCCTCCTGTGGCCCTGTCCTGGGCTGCCTTGCTATGCCGGGAGGGGCCGGTGTCACATTCTGCTGTCGACACCTGGTGTCTCTACAACCGTTAGTGCGTCTGGGTCTCTGCTTTCCACCTGCGCACTACATGGGACGTTCACAGTCCCAGTCAACAACCTGTGCTACCTTGCAGAGTCGAGATGGGCCCGGGCAGAGCTGCCCCTGGCAGGGAGGGACGACGCTGACACTCTCCAGCCTGTCAGTTTTGAGCCAAGAATGCAGTGTGACTGAAAAGCTATTTTTGGAATAGATACACCTCTGGGGCTCTGGGGGCATGCAGAGGGCAAAGAGCTTATTTGATTGGAATGTCAATCTATTTCTTTTTCAACGCCGCTTGGCGTTCCTCTGAGCTACCTTCCTCCCTGAATGTGGAGCTGTGGTGATTTGTGTCACCAGGGCTCCGCTCTGGACCCGGCTCCCTGCCAGGCTGAGCTCGCTGGGTTTGGCAGGGGGGCAGCCATCCTGGGTGCAGCCTGGTCCCGCTGAGAAACGGCCCTGCCGTGCAGTGCCGTAGGTCAGCAGCTGCATGTCTACCTGCCACATTTGAAGACAGAGTCTCTGAAAATGAAACGAAAGACTTGAGATAGGACTCGGAAGAGAAAGGGCGGGCTCGGCAGCGCTGGGCAGGAGAGGCCCTTTCCCTCCCCGTCAGCCTGTTCACCTCGGTCGGCTGTGCCCGTTGCCTTCCAGGGCCGGCTTTCTGTCCAACATTTGCAGTTAACTTTAAAGAACTCATGTACCTTTTAAAGACATGGAGTATAGCATCGCAATCTATTACGCGTATGTAATGTGTAATGACCGAGTCGGGGCAATTAGTATTTCAATCACTGGTAAGTGCGAATCATGACCATGAGATGCCACCTCTCCCCAGTCAGAGTAGCTCTTCTGACACCAAACAAGCCCCAAAACAACGCAGGCTGATGAGGAGGACAGAGGCCTCTGACACACTGCGCGTGGGAATGTGTGTTGGTGTAAGCTACCATGGAGTGTGGCCCGGACGATTCCCAGTAACCTACAAGTGCAGCTACTGTACGACCCTCAGCCCCAGCCCCGTGTATCTTCACAGGAAGCGGAATCAGTAACTGAAGACATGTCTACGAGCTGCCCTTCATGTGGCAGTATCCACAGCAGCAAAGGTGAGGGATCCGTGCAGACGTCTACTGCTGGGTGAACGGGAAAAGAAAGGGTGTACGTGCTCAGCGGAACATTATTCAGTCACAAAAGCCTCAAATCCCATCTTCTGTGGCAACATGGATGGAACTGAGGACATCGTGTTGAGTGAAAAATAAGGCGCGATTGAAGAAGTATGGTGAATGTTCAAGTTAAAAGTCCCGAGCACCATGACTTCCCCTCCGAATCCTCCCCTCGCTCTGCACACACATCCCATCACTTTTGCCTCTTTCTGAAGCAGCTCTGGAAGCCTTCCTGGGCGAGGGTCTTTAGCGGCCTCGCCGTGGCTGTTTCTAGGGCCTGAATCCATGCAAAACCTCTACCTCCCATGGCCTTTTTAACTTGAGAGAAGAGCCAGGAGCCATGTGGTGCCACACCTGGTGAGTCAGGTGGACGTGGCGGCACCACAGAGTTTTTATTAGGCCCAAACAGTGTGGCATCGCCACAGCGTCCCTAATGGGAGGGCAGCTGCATTCACTGCATTTTTGAGCACAGCTGGCAAAGACACTCTGGAAAGCAGACTCGAGAGCTGCTTCGGGAGTGGCAGGAAAGATGAGCTAAGTGTACCCAAAGCAAGGGGGGAGGGGCAATGTGGCTCTTGCTGTAACATCTTTTTGATTTAAACATTAACCACATATTCTGGTCACACCTTGTAACCCAGGTACAGAAAGACAAACGTTGAATTTTCTCACTCATCTGTGGGAGCTTCACATCTTTTCAAAAGACAGGCTGGCTTGGCCCTCAAACTTCCTTACTCTTTCCCGCTCTTCTCTCAGTACATGTGTAAAGTAGCTGCCAGCACTGACAAGTGTTTTTCTCTAAAAGCAAGGGGCAGGATCGCAGTTAGGCCTCACCCCCACCCACTATTGTTTCTTCCATTAAGATTCAGGGAACCCTGGCCTTGGAGAGGCTAAGAACTTCGCTCAGGTTCACAGGGGTGAAAGAAGCTCTGCTGCTCTGGGGATCTCAGCATCTCCAGAACCGCAGTGGGCGCCCCCTGCTCTCGAGTCACTCGTGCAAGGAGAAGCTGTCTGATACCCAAAGCGTGATCAGAACCAAGGACACTCTGGGTCTGGCCCACACTTGCCTCGGCGTGCTGGCCGCGGTGATGATAAGGCCGTTGTAATCACAGCAGACTGTAACTGAGTGCTCATTTTATACTAGGCGCTGGTTCAGCTCTGGGCAGAGATTATCCTGCATTTATTTCCACGGCAGCTCTGGGAGGTGGGTGTTAATTCCAGCCTCATTTTGAAGATCAGGACCCCGGAGCACAGCCCCTTTCCAAAGATCAAGGCACAACCTGGCCCTCCTTTTCCTCGTCCCTCGGGAAGAGGTTTCCCTCGATGATTTGTCAAATGTCTTAGTTCTTTGGAATATATGAGTTGCTGTCCTTTGGTTCCTCATATTGCATTGCATTTACTTCCCTTTATATTGTTGAGGCCTTTTTTCTTTTTTGGTGGTGCTGGGGGTTGAACCTGGGGCCTGGCAGAGGTTAGGCAAACACCCTACTGGCCTTGTTTGTTTGTGCGGAATGTGGCTTTGGGCAGATACCCAAGTGTGATGCCAGCGCCACACTCTTGTACTTTGAGCATCTGGAACTGTGGGCTAAATGGAACTCTGTTCTTTATAAATCACTCAGTTTCATGTATCCCGTTACGCAACAGAAAAACTAAGACAAACCCCTAACTAAAGCATAATGAGGGACGAGACTGTAGCATGCGCCCTCTGCTGTGAATTTCTGTCTCCAGGCCCCATCTGTTAGCTTTCGTCAGTCCCGGGGCCATTTCCACAGTAGCAGGCATACCTGGCTGTCTTGGGGCGTTGTATTTTTCCTGTTATGCTTCACTAGTGCACTGCTAGTGAAAGCCACGTGCACACTCCTGTGTCTGACACACCGTGGGCAGATATCAAATCAATGAACGCGGGCTGCATCTCTTAAGGATCACAACATCGGGGCTGGGCTCCCCGGCTGGGCTCCGTGCGGTGTAGATGGTGTCTGCAAGCACGTTGTCCTGTGGTTCCCACGCACTGCTGCCCTCTTCCCAGGCTGTGGGCGGGGCCTGTGAACACCTGGCCAGGACAGGAGGGAAAGGCCTGGGAAGAACGGCGAGTCAGCCCTGGGGACAAGGGCTGCGGGGAGGGACGCGCTGGCACTGAGACAGGGCTGCCCTTCTCTGTGCTCCTGGGCCCACCCTGAAGCCCCTGGTGAGCGGAGCTTCCCAGTGATCACTTTCCAAATCAGCTGCCTCAAATGCACTTGGTGGGGTAATTTGTTTGCTTTATTCATTAATTGCTGCCTTTTACGGGAATATCAAGTCCGTGAGAGCAGGGACCTCCGTCACTCTTCGTCACTCAGCTATGGAAGGGATAAATGAACAAAGGAGTGAATCCTGTGGCAGGTAAGACAGAGCATCGCTGGGGGAGGGACCCATGGGCCAGAGGGCTGGAGAACAACACGGATGCCACTAGGAAAATGTCCTGCACCTAGAGAGCCCAAAGGACGTCTCGGCCAAGAACAGTCCACAGTGCAGCAGAAAATCCACGCCTGACACTCCAGGCCCACGCCACGGCAGTTGTGCCGGGGGCTGGCATGGCTGGAGAGAGCGTTCTTCCTGCGTTTGCACACCTGCGATGCTGGCCTGGGCAGCTATTGCAGGAACCTCCCGGAACTGTCCTGTACCACAGCGTTTCAGCTGAAGATAGAAGATCTAACCTTGTCCATCCGAGGGTGACAGCGTCAAACGCAGACCAAGCCTGACATCAGTAAGATCCCTGGAATTCAGGACAAGCCCATCTTTTGAGCTATTCTGTCAAAAAGGAAGAAACTCCCCTTAGAACTCTAGTTACTAGAACGAAAGCTAATTATCAACAAGTACATCTTTTACTACATGGTCCGGTCTCCCACTTAGAAAGAAAACATCTATGAAATTAAATTTCCTCTGGAAAATATTTTGAAAAATAGAAAGGAAATGACTTTTCAAGGCTAAATCTTGAAAAGTTATACAAACACATACATCATGAAACTATGCATGTATATATATGCATAATATATGTAATATATAAACTAAATAAACACATTTATTATCTAGGTACATAGGTACAGAAACACAAGTGTGCCTATACCCACACCCGTGCATTTCCATCCACACTGCCCTGCAGTCATCCCTCGGTATCTGACGAAGTCTGGCTCCAGGATTCCCACCCCCACTGTGGGACACCCAAATCCGCAGACGTGCAAGCTCCCCGTAGAACGCTATAGTATCTGCGTGTAACCTGCAGTACTTACACCATCGCAGACACTGCAATGCCGTGGAGGTGGCTGTCAGTCATCCTGCGAGGTCACTGTAAGGAACAGTGACAAGACACAGTGGCCCCACATGTTCAGTGCAAGTGGGATTTGCTTTTCCAGATATTTTCAGTTTGAGAGTGATTCAATCTGTGGCTGGAAGAGCTGTGCGCGTTCCAGTGCTTCCCAGTTCCAACAGAAGCAAGTTCAGGTGGAAAGGCCGCGGGAAATATCCCCAACTATCCCCTGAATGCTCTCCTACCTGAGTGGGAGGCGGTGCCAGCAGGCATGGCTCCACCCACACCGGAAGCAGTGGGTCTTTCCCCACCCCCAGCCGAGATGGAGCCTGCGTTGGACAAGGTTGTGGAGCAGACTTCAGGACACAGGAATCCGAACCTCGACCCTCTTTGTTGGGAAATTCCGCCTTCACGTTTCTGCCAACTCAAAGCCCTTGCTGTGAGCATACAGATGAGAGACACCTGCGCTCTACCCATCTTCTAGGCTGACCCCACTGCACCCCTTTTGCAGCCTGGCCACTGAAGAGCACTTGGCGTGTTCTGACTGTGCACAGACATGCACAGGACCCTGGGAACATGGCCTGGCTCCTCCTGCTAGCCCGTGCACAGGGATGGATGTACAAACCTGGGGTTACCGTAGAGTGAGCATGGTCAGCCTAGGAAAGAGGCAGCCCGAGGAGAGCGGGAGGAGGGACCCTTCTTTTGCAGTTTGTAAACAAAGCTGGCTTTCCTTTGTACTACTCTGGTATTCCTACATCTCTCCATTGCATTTTTACTGTTTTCCTTCATCCTTGGGGCAGGGAAGGTGCCTCCTAACAGGCTGCAGTGATGGGGTTGTTCCGTTTTGCAATAAACAGGTTCAGAGCTTCCTGGCTATGGTGTCCAGGGAGCGAGTGGCTTGCAGGAGGGGAGGTGGAAGGGAATCAGATCTAATATATGCACACACCAACTCCGCACAATGAGTGCATTCATTTTGTACTGCAAAGATACTGACAAAACAATTTTTTTTTTTTTAAAAAAAAGCATGTAACAGACCCATGCAGGTCAAAATCAACCCTGCGTCTTCACTGTGACCACCCATCCGGCCACATTCACAGCCTCCCTCTAGGACAACCAGGCTCAGCCTTCTGGGACTTCAGGTACGTGGTCAGGGTGAGGCCTTGGGGAGACACCTGCAAGATTCCTCTCCTTCTGAGTCTCACTTTATTCAGGAAACAAGTTCTCCCTGCCTGGAAAGGGCTCATAGCATTTGGCACAGCCAAAGGCAGTGTCCAGAGGGTCCTGCGACCCCCTCTCTGAGGAGCTGTGCCGCAGTCCTCTCCGCCTCCTTCCACTCTCCCGGCCTTGCACCAGACATGCTGCCTAGTGACCAGGCTGCTGCTCTGTTGCACCAGAGAGTAACAAGGACCTCACATTAATTAAAACATTCACCTGCATCTCGTTTTTCCTGAGTCTCCACAGGTGCGTACGAAGTATAACGCCACCCTACAGGGTGCCTAAGCCTCTGAGTTAATCTTACAGACTCTTTGATCAGATCCTGGGTGTTTTAATTCTCACCCAGCATTTTCATACACAAGTCTCAATGTTGTTAGGCTTTCTGGGCGCCGCATCTGGCCGCCTGCGATGGGGCTAGTTGCTATGCAGCGAGGACCCTAGGATCCCTCTTCCAGCGGCAGTGAAGGATTTAGCGGTGGCTTTTCTCAGAAGGAGCTCAAACTCTGACTCTCAAACCCTGAGAGCTTCTGAAGATTGAGGTAATCCGCAGCTCGACACAATAGCAGATAATTAAATTCTTTTATAGCCACTCCAAGAACATTCTGTGCTTTTGCATTATTAATATAAAGAAACTTTTTCTAACCTGACAAACTAAACCTTATTTCCCGGTGTTGAAGGCAATTACACTTGTTGAGGATCTAAGTTCCTTATGATCAAATTAAGTTTATCTTAACATTCTTTAGTGGCAAAGATCATGAAATAAATCAGCTGGGCCTATAGCTTGGAATCGGTCTTGGAGTTTGAAAGCTTTCCTGGCTTTCCTTTAAAAATAATTAAGCAAGATCCAGGGATTTGGGTCAGTGATGCTGCCATCTATATGGCAAGTGCAAGGTCCTGAGTTCAATCCCTGGTACCCAAAATAATAATACTTAATGTATTTCTGCATGGGCACAGGGTTTGGGTGCTGTAGACTCAGAGGGGTATGTGTACCCCAGTACTTCTGGACTATCTAAATTACTTAGGGCAGAATGGATTTCTGATTTCTCTTGGTGACTTTTGACATAGCTTCGAACTTTTTTAAGTGCATGGACCCCCCTCTAAAAGTAAGGATTAAAAGCTTGAACAAACCGCATACCTTAAAGTTCTCCTCTGAGTAGTCTTTGATGGTAAAATTCACGCATAAACATGGATTCTAGGATGCTCTGTGATAATTCCGCTGCTCTCCACAGTCCCTGGGCTGTGATGGGGAGGTGGAGTGGGAGGTTAGGAAGCCAGGTACTGTGGGAAGCCAGCCATGGCCCATTGGCTTTTTGAAAGATAACATTTGTTCCTCTTTAAGGACTGCACGTGTTAAACTTGTTTCTGACCCTGCACGAGAGAAACTCGGATAGCCAAAGATCTGTAGGAGTCAGGTACTTCCTGTTAAAAATCTGACGTTAGCTGTAGGAGTCAGGTGTTTCCCGTTGATATGCCTTTAAAAGGCTGATGCCTGCCTGCAATAAACGTCGCCTTGATCAGACTCTTGTCTTGGCGTCCTTCCTTTCTCTCTGCCCCATCTCCACCCCGCTGCTCTTTCAGGTTTGAGGCACTGCGGGACAGTGCTCTGCGTCGCCGGTTCGCAACAAGGTACTAGTAGTCTAACTAATTCTTGGTTGGTCAAAGGGAAGGATTTTGAAGGAAGCAGAGGCTTGTCCTTGTCTCCTGAGAGATATGTGCTCTCTGGGAGCGGATGAGCAAGACCCTCTGTAAGCCTTCTTCCCATGGCTGAGGCCCCCCTCCCTCTTCCAGAGCCCCTGGGCGCCCCGCTGCTGGAGCCTGTGGGCGGTGGCATTGTTGGTGGGATGTGTGTGATACACAGAAGTGATTCATGTCCGGCGTGGGCGGCCCCAGAGGCCCTTTCTGAAGATCTGCGATTGTTCAGGGCTTCCTAATGAGCCGGCACAGGGCTCTCCAGAGGCCGATCAGGGGTTTACTCTTTCAGTCTCTGCAAGCCAAGTCATTCTGAAGGTGAAGCTGAGGTTAGGTTGCTCTGGCTCACTTCTCAGCAACAGGGGAACTGATGGGTTTCTCAAATGGAGACCTCCCCATGGCCTTTTGGATGGCTTTTTGTAGTCCTTGGAGCCAAAGCTACAAAGGGAAGTGGTAGCCGCATCCAGCAAGAGGAAGGATCATTGGCCGAGCGGGGGAGGGGGTGCCCCCAGCGTCCTCTCATTCTCTGACCGCTCCATCTGGACCCTCTGGACTGCTCCCTCTTCCTGCTGCAGTCCTCCCTCTGTGGTCAGGCCCACCTACGTGGAGCGGGACCCATGGAGAGGGCTGAGTGAAGAGTGTCTGGGAACCTTCTCCACGGTTAAGTCCATTCCCAGGGCACAGGAAGCAGTGGGGACCTGTGCCGGATGTGGGGGCCAGGCCTGTCCCGAGGGCCCAAAGGTGCGGCTGCCAAACAAGAGCCGGGCTTCCACAAAGCCTGACGAGCAATGGGCCCTGCCTTCCCGCTCTCGCTCCGGCCCGCGAGGCGGCGTCCCCAGAACCCCCACTCCGTGACGCAGGCCTTCCCGTCACTTACCCCAGCTTCCTGTTTTGAAGAACCAACATAATGAATCCTCTATTCTTCTGTTTGACTAAGGAATATAATTCTGCTTTGCGGCTCCCAGAGTGGAAAGAAAATTCACGTGAGCAGGAACAGAAGATTTTTTTCAGGCCACAAGAGGCAGAACCTTCAAAAAAAAAAAAAAAAATCCAAAAAACTCCCACGTTTTTCAGGTTGGCTTTAAATACAGCTACAAGCAAGTGATCAGAAAGAAAGGCTTTACAATCAGGTGTGGACCCAGGTGAAAAGGGAGCCTCCTCTGTCTCGTGAGGCAGAGACCCCCGTGAAAATGAGCGTGATGAAGTTGAGCCTAAGAGCGAATTTCTCTGAGGCGCTGTCTTCTGTGAGTCAGGTGGGAGCCAGCTACTTCTAAAAAGGAAATCGAGGATTTGAGGGGAGGAAACAAACTGCCCTGGGCACGACCCCTCACTGCACCCTGTTACAGCGAAGGAGCCACAGATTGTGGGCTGGATGGAGCTGGAGAAAATCGATGATGGCAGGCACAGCATCCCCGCCAGTCCAGCCACCGTCCCAGTCCCACTGGTTTGCATACTTGTTCGTAATCTTAATGAGGCAGAAACTGGCTCCAAGGAGCACTCAGCAACATGTGTAGTAGGCATTAGAGCTGAGTTACTTAGAGAAGCACCGAGCGGCAGGATTCTGCTCCTGAATCTTTATCAAGCTACAGTTCCTGCGCATTGAGACACTTGGAGAAGCCACATGCACGTCACAGGAGATGCATGGGTCTCTCACTGTCCCTGGGGTTAGGGCGAGCTGAGCCCAGAGGCCCTGCTGTGGGCCCTGGCAGTGCGGCATCTCAGGGCTCCCGCAGCCTGTTCCCAGCTGGTCAGCAAGAAGATTGTCTGCGGCGGCCCACAAGGGGCGCCGTTCCAGCTGGAGCGCCCATGTCTTCTAGGCCTTGGTTATCAAGGCGCCCTGTCCGCAACTGCACAGAAATCCGAGCCAATCTTTCTTTTGTTTCCTATTTACCCAGCTCGTTTATGGTTTTCTCAGAAAATGGAATCTTCCTACTCTCCCTTTAGAAATTAACTCTCATCCCAGAATCGACAATTCTAGTATGCTGTGTGAGCTTAACGACTACTTTGTCAAGAATTCATCAATCTCGCCGTCCTTCCAAGATCTCGGTGATGGTCTGATGATGACATATCCGCCCCAGGAAGTGCCGAGACACTGTACACCTGCAGAAAAGCTGCACGGGTGACATGAATCAGTGACATAAACCCAAAGAACCCACCTCTCACCCCGGGCAGCTGGAACTGTGAGAAGCTTGTACAACAACCTCTTACACTGCAGCTAGGCTCTGCCGAGGTAGGCAGAGGAATGCACTAGCACATGACTATGTCTGGAATCACAAAATATGGGCTATTAATGAACTGCATTTGGCTTCACAACAGGAGGCTTCCTTCACTGTGTTCTACTGGAGGATGATTAGTAGAATTTCAAGAGTGTGATCTTGGATGGCAGTATTTATCTTTGCTGTGTTTTGGATAAGCATCTCCCCCTGGACCCCAGCCCAAGAGAGTATTGGGAGATGGTGGGACTTTTAAGAGGATGGCTTAGTAGGGGCTCTTAGGTCACTGAGGGAGTGTCCACAAAGAGGATTATAGGATGCAGAGAGGATCATGGGAGGCTCCTCTCTCCTATACTCTCTTTTTCATTCTCAGCTGTGACTTGAACAGGCTTCCTTGGCCATGTGTTTCTGCCATGGTGTGCTGCCTTACCACAGACCCCAAACAACAGGGTGAACTAACCATGGACCGAAACCCCACACTGTGAGCCAGCCTAAACCTTTCCTTTTTAAAGTTAATTGTTTCAGGCACTTTGTTGCAGTAATGGAAAGCCAACAAAAAACAATGTTGAATCATGGCTTTTGATAATAATGTTTTAAATGCATGTGCTATAATTATCATATCTCCTGCTCAGCCTCCAACTCATGGAAAAGTGGCAAACCACCATATTTTATGCAAGGACATGAGATATCATCTCTCATACTTTAAATATTCAGGCTAGATGAATAAAACACCCTTTTCCCCCTACTGTTGAGCGTAACTCCATGCTTACAAGCTACGCCTTTAACAAAACCTGCAAGTAACGGGTCTCCAGGACATGGAAGAGTTTAGGTTCTGCTTTTACACAATTCCCTTTTCTTCTCCTCCCTGATACAAAGTCAGAAATTGTTTATTTTCATTACTTGGGTGATATTCGTATCATTCCTGCTCATAGATTTATTTGGAGATAAAAATATCATTGAAGGTTACTTAGCATGGAACTTGAACAAAAAGTTAACTATGGGTAATGAAATAAAAAATATGATACCATGGCTCAAACAGTGATAATAGACACAAACTACTATGCTAGTGTTATACTTGTTCTATTTATCATGCCACTATTGTAATATTTATTTTCACTGTGCTGAGGATGAAGGAAATATTGACCCAATGTTGGTAAGACATGGCTTTATGTATTTACTTTTTTCCTTCCAGAGGATGAGATATTAAACTACTAAAGCAATTCAATTTAGTTAAAATTTTTTTCCAGTGAGGCATTCCCTTAAATCTATTTTTTAAAACTTTGAGACAGTTATTTCTCTTTGAGGTACAAAGTAGAGACTTAGCATCCTAATTAGAAATAAGAAAATTACTAAAAAAATCTCAGAAGAGAAAGGAAAATTATATATAGTTTTTCTAATCAAACAGCCTACACACACACACACACACACACACACACACACACACACATATAAAATAGAGGATGTGGTAAAAAATGAAGTGTTTTCACAAAATTGTAAACTACAGAGATGTTTTAGTCAAATTAATTCACTTTGTAGGAATTTGAGTCCCAGTGGCCAGCGAATTCAGGCTGCCCAACTCCCGGCCCAGGGCTTTTGTTGCTTCTTGGAAGACCTGGCTACTTGGGAAGTTAGCCGGCGACATAAAGAAGGAAAATATTCTGGTAGCTGTGCAACAAATTTCAGTTTTGGAAACTTGTATGTTGTATACGTAGTTTCGATTTTCTTTGCTCCGTCTTAGGGCTGATTGTATATTTGTGTTTCTCGTTCTTGTTCTCTTCTTTCCTCCTCTTCTTCTCCCTTCCCTCCTCCTCCTCCTCGATCTCTTCCTTCCTCCTCTTCTCTGCTCCCCTCCTTTTCTCCCTCCCCTGCTTATTTCCAGTAAGGGCGCTGAACCAGGGCTGTGAGCATCTCAGCAGCCCCTCTGCTGAGGACAGCAGGCTCATGTCCAGGGCTCTTCGTCACCCTCAGCACGAACCACTGGCCCGGAGTTGCACTGCCCGGCCATGCTGACCACCGCAGGATCTACTCCACTGAGCAGCAATGCTAACAGACAGTTTACCACCTGGCTGGGAACCAAACTCGTGAAAACAACTTCTCCAAAGCAGATCGTGGTGCATTGTGACAGAGGTAGGAACAAAATGAGAGGAGAAATTCTGAGAGGAAAGACCAGGTTTGGGTGATCAAAAAGGGCCTCAGAAGAGGTGGCCTTTGCGGTGGCCTTGGTGGATGTGTGGAGCTGGGGGAGAGGCACACGGATGCCACTGCTGTCCTTATAGACCCCCGAAGCTCCACTGCACCCTCTTGCGCAGTGGGGTAATAAGGGTTTGCTGATGGACTGATGCCTGTATAGGGTTACGGCCACTCCTCTCTGCCTCTAGCAGGAGGGCCACAGTGAGGTTCTGGAGGAGAGGCACCGACAGTACGCTCACAAAGATCTTCCCTGCACGCTTCACCTCTCCCGTGTGCTTAAATGCCTTGACCCACAGGGGTTTCTTCCCTCCTCTCTCAGACCTCACACATTCATGCTTGGCCGACTAATCTGTGGGTTAGAATGGTGGCTGTGTCCCATTTGCACTAGCAGAATATAAATCCAAGTCCTAGAGGTTGTAGCGAGATTCTCCCAAGCACCATTTCCTATCCCCCTGCTCTGTGGATGACTGCAGATCATGTGGGCATCGTAACAGGCCGGCTTTTCTGCCCTACACGACTGGCGTTGCCTCTCTTACATTCTGCCCTGGAAGAGCAGGCACCCTGGTATCACAGGGAGCATGCAGCCGCTGTCAACGCCAGAGTTCACAACCACAGGTGCAGGGTGTTCGGTCAAGCCCTGTCAGTTGGCAGTTGTGTCACAAGAAAAAAATCCTACAAGCAAAAGAGTACTTAGGCTTAAAAATCACTCGGCTGGGAAGTCAGGGCTCCACGGTAATGTTGCCCTGGCTCCACGCAGCAGCGAGGTGGGAACAGGGATCATCGGTTAGTGGGCGGGGACACTGTGGGGCCTCTGCCCTGGCATGGAGCTCAGAGGGGGCTCATGAAGCCAACAGCCGGGCGATCCCTGAGGGATGAAGTCCTGGTGACTGCCACGGCCGAATGGTCCTGAAGGACAGGGAGTGCTCCCTCCGAGGACCTCGGCTGCCAGCGATCTTTCGAAAGGCATCGACATTAGAAAGATTGTCAACAAAATCTTCCAATAGCTGCTTGCTGATTAACACTTCTAGTGGAAAATGCTTCTGTAAGTTGTGCCTGAAAGGTCGGGCTGGAAAAAGAAAGGCAAATCTGGAACGCATGGTGCCATTCTCTTCTCCATCAGTAGAGGGCGCTCCTCGAGGCTGTATCTCCCCTTAGGGAATGCAGTAGTTACCTGTGCTTGGTGACTCGCTTCCTGCAGTTTCTATCATGGTCCTAGTCCTTCTCTCAGTTTTTACACACACACGCACACACACGCACAGAGGTAGAGAGAGGTCAATGCACAGATTGCTGCTAACTTCAGGAGTGTGGACTGCTTGCTCGACGCCATGTACTGTAAAAGGCACGGGGGGGGGCAGAGTTCGTATAATTAGGGGCCACAAACGTGCTGATTACTTCTGCCAGAGAGGAGACACAGTCTTTGAAGGGAGATTTACGTAAACACTCAGTTCTCAGGGTACCTGCATCAGTCCATGTCTGCAGCATACCATGCTTAAACTCCTTGCGGGGAGTCGGTCCATGGGCAGAGGCCACCTGAGCTCATTTTCCTCCCTTTCGCCTTGTCTCTCTCCCCCTCCCTCGGCCTCTGGGTCCCCTTCCCATCTGGGAAAGAACTAGCTTCCTATTATCTAACTTACCTCGCTCTTTATTTACAGTCTGGGTTTCTCTATAAGAGAAGCCATGAATAGTGAAGCTTGTGTGCCTCATTCATTTCACTTACGTTTGTGGTAAATGATGATTACATTCATTGTGGGGAGTTGGTACCCGTACTTACCACATCTTCATTCTTTGTACTTCCCCTACTCTTAAGGAGCATTGCTTAACTTGGGAAGAATTTATGGGAGGCTCTTGACATTCATTTAAAATAAATGTGGAAGCAGCAGAAATATAGTTAATTTTCTGTGACGTGCTAGGCAGGAATGACTAGAACAGGCGGCAGGGACACCAAGCTGGGGCCCGCCGGCCGCGGTGGGTGGAAAGCGCCGGGCCCTCCTGTGGAGATGGCCAGAGAGAAGGCAGGTCCTGCCACAGCAGCCAGATCCTGAATCACGCTTCCTCCGCGCTCGGCACCCGTCTTCATGCAGGTGACAGCGTGCAAGCGGGTTGGCAGTGCTCAAAGCTCGCAGCTTCCCTGATAGATTTTATGATTATCACTGTCCTAGGCCGTCCTTCAGTACTGATCTAGAAAACAGACGAGCCCTCTTGGCCCAAGAATGAGTCAGCCACCTTGATTCCACAGCGCAACTGACTGTTCGAAGACACCCAGGGTCCCCCCAACGTCACCTCAGATCTCTGAGATGTGGAACATGAGGAAGACTAGAAAGGTAGAAGATGACAACTTCTGCACGTGTACAGTGGGTCGTCTGAGAGCAGTCGATAAAGTGTGAAAAAGCGGCTGATCTGTAGGTTCTTTTTTTGGTACTGGGGATCGAACTTGGGACCTTGCACTTGCGAGGCAGGCGGTGGCATCCCTGAGCTAAATCCCCGGCCCTGTAGGTTGTTAATAAAAAGTTACTATTACTTTGAGTATTGCGAACAGTGATTTGGTGGTTGCAGTACCAATCTCTCACTGCCTGAGGACTCCCAGGAGCTCAGACTCCCAGCTAGGGCTCCAGTGGAAAAATACCTCAGTTTCCCCAGGTGACTTTTCTCAAGAGGAGGCCTGAGGATATTCATAGTCAATGGCCCACATAACGCGTTTCTAACCCAAGGAAGTAAAAGAGCGACATGACTACTGGGGTGGAGGTCACAAGGTGGACTTTGGCGAAGTGAAAGGCAGGGCTTTGAGTCCGCTGCTTCAGCGTGGACAGTGTCATCACGGACACATGGACATCACCCTGTGCTGTGCACCAAGGTGTCCACGAGATACGGAAGCGTAAATCCGAGAGCAGCTGTTTGGCCATGAGGTTTGTGTTTGGTTCAGAGTGCTTCTGACTTCTCAGTGAGAAAGCCGACAGGCGTGGGGGACTCCCTGAGCGTGGGAAACCACAGGCTTTGGAGAGCCAGGGTCCTGGAAATACTTGCGTTTATTTTTTACCATACACCACTAAGTTCTAGTTTTAATTCCTTCACATTCTTACTTTACTACATTTTTCTTACTGCATTCAGTACCCATTACCCATAATGCACAAGGTCAGCAACAACAGCCAAGACTGTTGCTTGTACAGTTAATGGAAACCAAATGTCTCAGTAGCCTGAACCCCAAGCTCAGATGTCTTCCTTTTTCCCGCTGATTTAGGAATCTCTCTCCCTGAGCGAATCTTCTTCTCTACTCCCTCCACCCCAGGCCCCAGGTGCCCACAGTCTCGAGGTCTTTTCTCAAGCACACTTAAAGACTGCCGTCCCCTTCAAAGTGAACTTGCCTGCCTGGTTTCATTACTTGCCTGGCATTCTTCACAGATGGCCGCCTTGACCTCCTGAAATTCCTCCTGAAGATGAAGTGCCGAGCCCAGCAGTCCACAGGAGAGTTCATAGACAGTTCCATTACACACAGCAAGACCTCCAGAGGATCAGATGTTCACCCATGGGAAGATGTGGACCGGATGGGCAGATTCAGATGCAACTCATATTCTCATCGGCTTCGGTACTGGGGTCACGGAGGGTGAGGGACGGAGTTGCTCTGTGCTTACCAGGAGATCTCACGTTTGGGCTTTCGTTTTGTGGGATTTGTTGTTGTTTGTTTTTGCAAAACACATGAATGCAGTTGATCCCCTTGATGGAACTTTGGGAGCCTCAGAACCCCTCAGAGGATGTGCTCCTGACGTCATCTACGTGTCCCTCCTTGGTGACTGAGCCAGAACGGCTCTGTTCTCTCTTCCTGGCTCTTTGCCTTTTTACAAACCACTTTTAGGCTTTTCTAGTATTCAAAACATTATACGGCAGTCAGTAAGATGGAGGTCAGGAGTCAGCTCAGTAGTGAGGTCTATAGCCCGTGAGGGCTCTGAGGTAACCGCACTGGCACAAGGGGAAGCCAGCACTACAGCTGAGGCAAATTTATCCTCTTTGGGCATGAAAGGGGGCTAGCAAATGTATTGTTTTGAAATTGAACAGAGATTTTAAGTTTCAAAAATTTCCAAAAAATCTGCAGATTTGGTTGAAGATGTATTGTCTATCAATCGATTCAGATTTTTTCCTTGGTCCCATCTTTCTGTTGCCTGTCCTTTGGTTATTGTTGTTACTTACTCTCTGGTAGAAGGAGGATAGGTTCCCAGAGAGAAGGAAACAGAAAAAAAATTAACTCTATTTTCTTCCTATGTTGGAATCTGTTAGATTTTCATGGGAACAGGAGGCCAAGAGTCTGGGTAAAAGTTATTTGGGATATATACACTCAGGTGGAGTACACTGCAATAGTTAGGGTTTATATTAGAAAGATCTAGATTTAATTACATAATTGACAACAAATTTTTATGCCTCTGGGAAAATTTACTAAACTTCTTTTCTTTAATTTTCTCATTTATAAAAGGGGAATACTGTTAGTTTCACAGGTATGCTAGGGCACTCAGTTAAGTAAGTATGAGAAGTCCTCGGTTATGTTCCCAACATACAGGAACATTTATTTATTATTCATTATTACTATCATTATGTTCTTAGTGACTTTTCTCTAGCAATCTGGCATATGTGGCTTATTTTGCCTATTCAGCTGGTAAACCGTTGTGTCAGAGTTCCAGACACTGTCAGGATGTTTCTGAGAATTTAGTTGACAAGTCCTTCCTTCCGTCCACCGTATTGCTTTCTCTCTTCCAACAGTGCCTGCATGCCTCCGCTGGTGAGTGCCTATACATGGCTATGCTATTCAGGTAGCAGCATTTCCTGAGGGAGATGAAAGCAGTTTTCTTTCAAATGCAGAGGAGTTGAGCACACACAAAAAATGTGTTTGTTTATATCTGATCATGGAGCTGCAAGTCTCCAAACTCACTATTCATGGAAAGCCAGAAATTTGGGGAAGTTTGTCATTTGTTTTTAAGAGTTCATATGGCAGCATTCAGAAAAAAACATAAAAGAGAACATCTTGAAATTTTTCCTCCAAAATATTTCAGACCCACTAGCCTTATGTATGGCTTACTGCAGTTGCATTTTAAACATCAAGAATAATATAATGCTTTAAAAAATCGAATGTGGCCAATCCATCCAGCAGTCAGTGCGGTGCTCTTCTGTCCGGGAATGGCCTGGCCCCAGGGGGGTGGCCTGCCCTCGGCCTCACGAGAAGAAATAACTACAAGCCACAATGGGAGTGTGGCTAGCTTGGCTTTGGTCCCTCTCGGACTAGAAAGGTGCTATTCTCGAACACTCCCAATTTTGGTGTCAAAAGAGCTTTCTGAAAGTTTCAAGGGAGGAGTAGAAGACTTGAACTTCTCTTCCAAAGTGCACCAGAATCAGCTCAGCTTGAGTACTGGCTTTAGCTGAGTTAAAAGTGCCAGGCCAACAATAGTGACATCAACTCAGCAACTGCAGCGAAGTGACACCTGTGTGTGCCTTCCTGTTGCGTCCTCACGGTGCCTCTCAGAGTCACAAGAACACCAGCAAACATTGCTGAGTCCTTACCGCGTGCTAGAGTTCACACTGCCAGATCAGCACTGGCGACAGCCTCCTGAGGTAGTACTGTCCGATTTGATGATCTAAGTGAGGCGGGGAGGCTAAGTTAGTGGCCACACTGCAGAGACAGGGTTTGAACCGGGGCCTGCCTAGCCCCACTGGCTGTGCCTCTCAGCACTGAGGGAGGAGGCACCGGTGAGTGGGACCCCACCGCCCAGGCACATGGTCCTTAGGATAGTCAGGCCCCCGAGCCTGGATTTCTCAGTCCCTGGCTGGCACCTTCCTGTTATATTGGGCTAAAAGCACTCTATATTTTGGATTATTAAACTTTACGGAGCTCATAAAACCACCACAGTTAGCCTGGCCTGCAGCTGGGAGTCATTAGGACAGTAAGTGCCCGAGTCAGTGCACCTGTGCAGCAGGACGGGGTTGTTCAGATGTTTTACGGGGCAAAAATACTTTCTTTGATTCTGTTTGCTGTTTACTGTTTAAAATTCCTGAATGTAGAGAAGTTATGTGTTAAGTTGCCCACTTTTGCTTAGTGGAGATACAGTTTCTGTCTGGCAGGCTAAAAATCAACTCCAAAGTGCAGAGTTCATCTCCCCAGAAGACGTTAATCAGTTTGTGCTGTCAGGTTATGCTCACATTCCTTTTGTAAATTACCTGGAAATATGAATTTCTCCGAACTGGTCTGAAGGGAACGGTCTGGGTAAGGCCTCTGACATCTGATGAAGGGGCCACACAGTTACCTCTTTGAAACCTGTCCCTGAGCCCCATCCGTGCCTGTGGGCCCCAGAGTATGGACGGTTTAACCAACCTAGAAAACGCGGGCAGCAGAATCGGCCGCCCCGCCCTCATCGCCCTGGGTGACACAGTGCTGGGCACACTCAGTGCGCATTGAGAGCATATGTTTCCCGATCGCCTCTGTGCCCTCTGCCTTGAACACAAGGCTCAGCTGTGGGTCCTCGGGACAGGCTCTGAGCCGCTGCAGTGAGGGAGTTTCTTAGACCCCGGGACACCCCGGAGCCACGGCGAGGCCCTGGGTGCTGTCCTTCAGGGTCAGGCCTGAGGAGTCTGCCCTCGGAAGGGGCGCGTTGGGTTGGGTTCGCGGGCCTGGCTGCACGTTAGATATCACCGGGAATGAAAACACGAAACCCTTCAGGAGCTCGATTTAATCAAGTGTGCTGGCCTGGCGTCAGCATGCTTTGGAAAGTGTCCTGGGGATTGTCATGGGCCGCTGGCTAGCACTGTCCCTAAGGCAGCCCAGGGGACTCCCTGGCCGCTCCTCCTCTTCCTCCTCAAGCTTGGGTAACTTGAGCCGAGTTCAGAGGGCCTGGGCTGTTTTCCGGTGGAGCGCCAGCCCCGTTGGGTTGGTTGTCTTCGCGGTGGGCGCTGGAGGAGCTCCGGAGCCCAGGGAACGCCGGCTCCTCCCAGGTTCGCATCCTATGGGCCGTCTCTCTGCCGCCCGCGCTGGCCGCCCGCTCCGCGGTGCGACCCTTCCCCCTTCCTTCTCCCCTTCAAATTCCGAGTTCCTGGAGGCCACTGCAATGTCTCAGAGATGGAAGACCAGCTTTGACAGGCTGTCGGCAGGTTGGAAACTGCAGCTTGTAGCAGTGTCCCGGCCGCTCTCCCTTTTCTCAGGCTCTCTGCTGTCCGCCGGCGGGCAGGCTTCGGGCGGGCGAGGAGCGGGCAGGGGCCAAAGGGCAGCCTCGGGGCCTCGCAGCCCACCTCCCGGGCCTCTGCAGTTCTCCTCCTCGTCTCCTCCTCCACCTGCCAGCCCAGTCCTTCCTCCACCC